GAGAATTTATTCAACGATATTCAATAACTACGTATCTAATCATTCCCACATGCACAAAATATTTTGACTAAAGGCAAATTCTTTTTGTATAAAGAAAGTAGTTGATTTAAGTTTTATACTTAACAAACTATTTCACTTTATTGTTCTAATTTATAGCTACTTTGATGTCTCCACAAGCTGGGAATTATCGAGAAAAATTTATTTTTCTTAACAAACACTTAGTACAGTTCTTACAGTTCTTTTAAGTACTTAATATGCCTAATGCTGCTCATTAGTATTTATAAGTTTGCGTAAATGCGTTCCCGCTGGTATGGGAGAAATAATCAAGCATTTACAAATTTAGGAAATTTGCTTGCAGGACTAGCAGAACTGTACTTGCGCCGCATCTAACTTGCTCTCTCTCTCTCTTCAATCACCCACCTGTGCCTGATGTGAAGATAAATTCAAAAAGACAAAGAGGCAGGATCGAGCGTAGGTGGCTGGCACGGCTGAAGCCGTCCCTAAGCGCGTCATCACGCCCAGCTCCCCCCCCCACGTTGGGCACTTATTATCGGCACGTAAGCCAAATAACGCGCTTTTGGAGTACACAGTAAAGAAAAGCGTCTAGAAACATACCGAGTGACAGTGCCATGGCGTTCGGAGATGGGCACCGTCCCATCCAGTTTAACATAGGTGACAGTCGGAAATTCTGAACTAGAGAGAGAGCAATGAAGGAGAATGTTTTGAGAACAGAGAAGATGCGGCGGCAAAAGGACAAGACACCGGGCAGACATACCTTAACATTGTGGCCACAAGCTTTAGCATGCTTTTAGTTTGGAAGAAAATCAGAGCTCGATGCTGACTCATCAAGTCCTCTTGAAGGTTAAGAGGTGCAGAGGCATTCGAGGAATCGAAGGTAGATAGACGTTGCAGGCCACCAAAACCACAGTCCAAGAGGAGTTGGCTATAACAAGATGCAGGCAAATGAAATGGTACCGAGTGCATATTTTTACAACACGCTACTGAAGGGATGTTA